GCGACGCTACATTGCACGCTGCCCGCCGACTCGCCGAATAAAAAATGAATATTACTTACATAATAAATACTTTTTTCTGGCAAAAAAATATTTTTTTGTTAGTTCAATAGTATAAGGAATTATCGTTTAAAGTTCAAAAGGTGTAGTTATATAATTTTCTAAAAAAAAATTTTTTAAATTACCTAATTTTTCAGCGTGCTAAACCAAACTCAATTCTATACACATCTATATATCTATAATTTAAATTCTCTCATACGATATCTGCTGATTTAATCCAAATTGTTCGCCTTCTTCGCAGTCATATATCCGTTTCATAAGCGATCTCATACAACATAGTCAAATCGATAATTCCTTTTTTTATTCAATTATAGAAGTCTATAACTTCATCCGAGGTGTAGAAATAGAAAATTGTTAAGTGTCACTAGGGAACAAGAAATTTAGGAAATTAAAATGAAATCGTGTTTCGTCAGCAACGCAACAAGAATAAAGAATAAATAAATAAATAACTTAATAAAAGTAAAATTAAAATTAAAAGTCAGAAATTAAGTTAAAGAAAATATTAAAATAGATACTGAAATCAAACAGAAAATAGATTGAAATACCAAAAAAGTAAGTCCTTCTTTAAAAATTATTGAGATTATATAAATTGAAATACAAAAATAGTAAGTCATTAAAATTAAAATTATTAAAATTAATATAAAGTTATGACTGTCTTACTTGTTGAAATTGACAAAAACATTTTCCTTGTAGATAGGACAAGGGTATCCAAGACAAAGTTAAGATTGGAAATGACGACGGTAAACAAAACAAATCGTACAAATGAGAAGGAGAGTGAGGGAAAAGGATAGAATGGGGTTGGAGAAAGGGAGCAGGAAGTTACATAGGAGAAAGAAAATCTAACAATAAAATAGGAAAATACGAGTCAGAGAGTAATTCAGAGAGGATTTAGAATCAACGGCTTTAGAACGCCTGCCTTTCCAACTACCTTTTTACATTAGATATATCAATAATATCTTATTAGCAGCATCAAAAAATAAACTTAATGAGATCTTGGGTACTTTTAATTCTTTGCATAAACGATTATAATTTATCATAGAGATTGAAAATAATAACTGTCTTAGCTTTCTGAATGTAAAATTGATAAATGAGGATGGCAAAATCATTTTTGACCTATTCCATAAATCGACCTCCTCTGGAAGATATTTAAATTTCAGCTCTAATTATTCTATCACACACAAAAAAGATATAATTTTAGGCATGATCGATAAGATAATTTTATTGTCCCACTCTAAATTTCATCAGAAAAACTTCACGCATAATATTGAGATTCTACTAGAGAATGGATATCCATTAAAATTTATATTTACAATAATCAGAGACAGACATACCTTTTTTATAAATCACATATTAATAAAACGAAATTAACTCTATCTCAAACGGTAATAAAAAATTGTTTGTCCCGTACATTAATTCGGTGTCAGAAAAGTTTTCCTCAATGTTTATAAAGCTGATCAACAACCAGATTTCTTATTCGATTCCACATACGTTAAAGACATTCATCACAATGGGCAAAGACATTTTACACAAAATGTCTGTCTTTGGTTTATAATATAAATTGTCTCGATTGTGACGCGAGCAACGTTGGCCAAACTAAACGTCAATTAAAAACGCGAGTTCAAGAACATCGGATATCATCAAAAGAAGTAGCTTGCCCTCTATGATCTCAGAACATCGTTTGTCTGAAAATCATGAGTTCGATGGGGAACATGTACAGATTTGAGATAAAAAAACCTTTTTTAATTAAAAAAAGTATATCTGAAATGGTCCACATAAAAACACAATCGAGCGATTTAAATAAGCAAAGTGACATCGAATTACTCTCTGACTCGTATCTTCCTATCTTAGATCTTCTTTCCCCTAAGTAACTTCCTGTTCCCTTTCTCCATCTCCACTCTATTCTTTTCCCTCACTCTCCTTCTGATTTATACGATTTGTTTCGTTTACTGTCGTCATTTCCAATCTTAACTTTGTCTTGAATACCCTTGTCCTATCTCCGAGGAAAATGTTTTCGTCAATTTCAACAAGTAAGGCAATCATAACTTTATATTAATTTTAATAATTTTAATTTTAATGACTTACTATTTTTGTATTTCGATTTATATAATCTTAATAATTTTTAAAAAAGGACTTACTTTTTTGATATTTGAATCTACATATTTTCTGTTTGATTTCAGTATCTATCTTAATATTTTCTTTGACTTGATTTCTGACTTTTAATTTTAATTTAACTTTTATTAAGTTATTTATTTATTTATTCTTTATTCTTGTTACGTTGCTAATGAATCACGACTTCATTTTAATTTCCTGAATTTCTTGTTCTCTAGTGGCTCACTTAACAATTTTCTATTTCTCGGATGAAGTATAGACTTTATAAAAAAAGGAATTATTGATTTGACTATGTTGTATGAAATCGCTTATGAAACGGATATATGAAGAAGACGAGCAACTTGAATTAAATCAGCGGATATCGTACAAGAGAATTTAAATTATAGATATATAGATGCGTATAGAATTAAGTAATTGTACCATATATCGGTTATTATTTTAGGTTTTTTCGCTGAAAATGACCACATATTTAGGATCGAAACAGCCAGATTTTCAACATAAATTATTGTATATAATTTATTATTATTATTAATGTAATTAATATATATTATTTATCATCTTTGCATTCATTTAATACTATATAAGATAAATATAATACTAAGATTATATATGTGTATAAGTACAGTCACCTTGCATTGGCTTATATTAACTCTTCTCCTTATATTCTAAATTTTATTCATACGAGCCTTGAATACATTGTTAGATTTTAATTTTATATTTAAAATTATGTTTGTCTAAAAACTGTAAAAATTGTTATACTTTCTTTCTATCTTTTTAATGATTGTGTCTAAATAATTTACTTGATATTGCATATTATAATTTGCATTATTATTAGTTCCATTTGTGCAAAATACAATATAGATAACTAATAACTTTAAATAAAAAATACACTCTTAATTATAATATACGCAATAAAATGTTAAACATTCTATAATCATACCTGCGAAGACGAATGTTTCGTTCTCTCAATGAAAAATTTCGAAAACCCACTGATCTCCTGTCAACGGAAGCAGATCTTCTTAAAATTTTTGGTATTTGACGCATTTCCCGTCTAGTTGATGTAGTGATGTTTTCTAGACTAGAGTGCAACCGGTGTGACAGGTGTCGTTTAACCATTGTTTCTTTTAATCGTTCGAAAATAACTAAAAAAGATTAAATTTAATAAATTTAATAAAAATAAATAATACTGTAAAAATCAATTTAACCGAACATATGTATGGAGACAAGACAGTTCCGATAATCAAAAAGTTCGAATAATATAAGCCGGTACTCATAATACTTATTTTAAGAGTGTCTTAAGTAATGTCTTAGATGTTGATACAGCCCTGTGATTGGCTTAAAACATTTTAAAACTGTACTTAAGATGGTTTTAAATATAAGAGTCAACTATGAATATCGGCCATAAACTCACTAACTCTCTCTTTTCTAATACTTATTAATTTCGATAATAGAAGCTGATGTCCACAGAAAACTGAAGTCAAACACGTCGAGCTCTTATTATCCGAATGGTTCGAATAATAAGAGTTCAATCAGCTATGAATTTGTATATTTGGAACTGAGTATAAACTTGTACGTACTTTGTACGAGTATAAATAAAGTTTTATTTTTGGTATTTCTTTTTTTATATTGTTTAATATTTAGATATTGATTGCATAAGAATATATTTTTTTAATAAATTGATACAGAATTCTTTATGCTTTCAATTCATGTTTTTATATTAATACATATAAAGCTTGAATTAATTAAGGTTTTACAAATACATATCTATAATTTATTACCTAAAAAACTGCTAATTTTTGTGTATTTATTTTAATAATTAAGTTATAAGTAATTATTGATTAATTAATATATTATCGATAATTATTTATTTTAGAAAATTCGCCTTTTCAATCGACTAATTGAACGTTATAATCTCACTTAATGGGTTTAAGTTTCATAAAATTTTTATTTTCAAAACTTTATGTGTTATACATCTTTACGAAAGGTACAATTAATTTTTAAAAACACGTGTATTTATTAATGTTTTGCGTTTTAAATAAATAAGTATTATTAAAAATATGTATTCTTTAAATTACAAAGTTAATTCACTCCACTCATTTATTGTATATAACATGTACTTTTATTTCACACTTTTTTATAAAAAATAATTTACAATTTATTAATAATGAACCATCACGTCAAATTACACGAGATTTAAAACTTAGAAATTTATATATAATATTACATCCAATAGAAGTAGAATATTATAATACTACATCTCGTTACGTACCACAATGAAAACTGATAAAAAATAATCGGATGACATACTTTATCTCATCAAAGCCACTAACAGCAGTAGTGATTCATTTATTTCGATAAGATAAGATAAACGTTAAAAATCTATATTTAATTTTTGTAATAAAATTCGAAGATTTTAATTGAAGGCATTTATTTCGTACAACGCAATTACAAAATTTATTTATAAAAATGGTACAATAAAAAAAACACATTTTTGTTTCTTCTTTATTTAAAAGAGTCTTTAGAATCATTAAAGATAATTTCAAATTCAACGTAAAGTTATCGGTGCATAACTTCTAGAATTAAAAAGTGTATTTAAAAATATATTTAGATAAAGATATATTATTAGGCACTAAAATCTGTGCTTTGACTGAGATTTCATTTATTTGTGTTATTAATGTGTAATTTAAAGAAAGCATATAAAAAATAAAATAAAAAAAATTCACATATGTTAAGGTCATTAAAAGTTGTTGCTCTTATTTTCATATTTGAAAATTATTTTTATTTTTTGTAAAAAAAAGGAATAACTTCCAGTGATCATGACCTTGACAACATATGTATGTTAAAGTCATTCTGAACAACATTCAAAAGGTTTTAGCCATTGTTCGAACATCTCGGATAATGCTAATGCTGCAACGATATTGTAACTTTCAAACTTTATAACTCAGAAAGTTCTTCATGGAAAAACATTTTATTATATTATTTTGGAAAGCTCTCAAAATAAGCTATAAGAATATGCAATAAAAAATGAGGAATCCCATTCAAAAAATTTAAAATGATCTTTTCTTGATCTACCCGCCGAAAGTATGGTTATTCAGATCGGAAGAGCACACGT